GTACAAAAACGAGCTGATCTTCATAAGGGTTTAGGGCCCAAACCCCAAAACCTATCAAACTTAAACCCAAAACCTGAATCCCCTAGACCAAAGGCCCTAAAGCCTAAGCCCCTCAAAGCAGAAACTGCGCCCACTGCGAATGAGCTGCCACTCCACAGTCCAAGTGGACATTCCGTCCTCTGCCCCCCGAATTTAATCCATCAGGGAAAGCCTGAAGTAGGAGTCTCAATCTAAAGAATAAGGGTTTGGGCTATCTTCGTATGGCTTTATATGTTTAACTCATCATGCATGGGCATCAATAATTAGGATGGACATCAATAATTAGGATGGGGCTTCTAGATAGGGGTCCCTTTATCCTTCAAAGGCGTTCTAGAAAGGGCCACACTTCTAAAAGGGGCCCTAAAAGGGACCCTACTGTAGCGAACTACTCATATGGCATCCTCACAGAGGATGCAGTATTGCCAAACATTTTAAGGTTTTAGCGTTCAGGGGTTTGGATTTAGGCTTTCGCGAGTTCCAGGAGCTGGCCCAGCTGTTCAGGTACTTCAACAAACCATAAAGCCTAAACATCTGGCTAGTTTCTTTTCGGGTCCGTACTATAAGGGTGCCGCGCTATTTTGGGGACCTAAAACGGGACCCGAATTTAGAGAACTACTCATCTAAACCTTAAACTGTCCGGCTTTGTACCACCTTTTCTCAAAGCCCTCGGAGCTGCTAGCAAAGACGGCGGAATAAGGAGCAATAATCTCCCTCATAGTCATTCTAGGCCAGCGAACCCTATCGCAATTGTTGAGGTGAACCTGCCACCCAAAACCCGGCTGTAACAATCGAGGGGTTCTTGACAGGGGTGTTCGGCTTCTGTGTACCGGTCTGTACTATGGGCATGCTGTCGTAAACGGAGCTGCTGGCTGCCTAGCTTAGGAAGGCCGTCGTGACCCATGTTACCGCCATTCTGAATCAACGTCCGCGCGCTCTGAGGGGTGTGTTTTGTGTAAGTTCGCAATGTTTTGTGTAAGTACGCAAGAAATGAGAACAGTGGTTCTGATTCTTCAGAACCCTGCATTTTTGATCGGGTCTTGTTCATGCCGAGGATGCTAGCTGAGTCCCGAACCCCAGGCTCAATGTCGAGAACCCGCCAGAGCGTGAACCGGAACCCCTGAAGCCAAAACCGTAGATCCAAAG